GCATTTGTCATAAATATATAGTCAAATGTTATACTAGAATAGGTTCAATTCTACTCGATAGAGATTATTGAATATGTTAGAAACATTGATTCTTCAACTAAATCGTTGTGTTGTCAAATTGTGAAATAAGGGTTAAACGTGAACTTGTTTGGTGATTCAGGATCCTAATGCATTTTTCATACATTAATTTCTTTAAACTTTTGCATCCAAGATCATTTTGTATTTTTTTTAGTAACCTTAGTTTAAATTGCANTCAAGATCATTTTGCATTTATTTACTAACCTTAGTTTAAATTGCATTTTAGTCATAGTTTAATTATAAAATTCAAATCATCAACTATCTTGAGTTAAGTAGATTCGGTTAAGGTCTCGGTAATAGAAATCAAATTAAATCAATCATCGTGGGATGATACTCGAAATTTTACAATTTTCACTTTATTCCTTGTCAATGAACCGTACACTTGCGATGATTTACAAAGAGAACATATTTTCGTGAACACCCATCTGCTACCATCCCCTCTTACATTCGTTGGCATCCACCTCGCCGCAACTTCTTCAGCGGCGAATTGATCGTCGCTCTGCGGTGAATGAGCATTGCTGATTCAGATGGTAGAGGAGAACATCGACTGAGCATTGTTGGCGACTAATTATCTTCTTCAGAGGCGACTCAGTAACGCTGATATAATTTAAAATTATTTTTTAAAATTAAATTCAAAAACATCACTTGTAAAATTTACAAAGCACTTACCGAAGCAAATAACTTCAATATTCACTGCCGAAATCTGGTTAATTAAATTTGTAACCGATTCGGAGAACTGTGGTCGGAAAAATCAATAGCATGTAACTTGACCTTTTGAATTTGTGATATGTGATCTATGCACTTTGACATATGACCTGTGACCCTATGACATTGATAAGTTATTCATGATATTGATCCAATGGCCGTGATTAATTCTCTTAGATTTGTAAATTGTAGAAATTGATTTGTTACCTATGCAAAATGACATGTGACCTATATAATATGACATTGGACCTGTAAATGATGGCATGTGACTTGAACTATAACTTGTGATATGTAAACTTAAATTAGTGATCTGTGACTAATTCTATTTGATATGTCCTATTGACATTGGTATGTGTCCTATACAATATGACATGTGACCAGTAGAGTGTGACCTGTGACCAGTTTGGTTTGACCCGTGACTTGTCATCACCAAATGTGAATTGTGACCTATGACTTGCAAAAATGATTTGTGGCCATCACCACTACCCCCATTTGCAAAACCACCAATAAAACCATCTAATGAACTGTCCCCTTCAAAGGCAGAAGCACCGTCGCACCCATAACCACCACCACCACCACCACATCAAATCCAAAATCATTACCTTCTTCACCAAACCACAACCACCAGCAATTTTCATTATTCCCCCCTCAACAAAACCCAAAACCAAAATTGAAAGGTCAATTTTTGCATTAAGAATTATCCTCCACCTTCGGGACCCGTCATGCCAAAACATCACCCATGTCGTCAACCACCTCAACTGCACCATCAACACCTTAGGTCCTTCCTATTTAGCCCTAATCACATAAGCTTCATCTATAATGTCTTCTCCAACAAGAACATTATTTTACATGGATATACTTGATTTTTTATAATTGTTCGAACTACATCGATCCAAACAAAGCTAATCGAATAATTGGGAAAAGTGAGATCTTAGAAATTGATTTCTGTTTCTTGCTTCCAAAGAGAGTAGAGGAGAAATGGTAGAAATAGAGAATGTGGAGATAAAATGGAAGAGATAGAGAGAGAGAGAGAGAGAGAGATTAAATCTGAGTCTGGGTGGCTTAGAGGGTGGGGTGTTATTTAATTTTATAATATATTATTATTAATATTAAAATATGGATTTACACTTGATTTTTGGATAAACAGACATTCAACCTGTTTTTTAAATTGCAATCTTTAAACAACTGTAGTGTAATTTCCACAGAAAAAAAAAAAAAAATTAATAGGCTTAAGTGAGACCTCATGGGCTGCACTTGTGGGCTGGACATACTGAACAGAAAATACATAGAACCTATCATTTCCTGCATTGAGAGGCATTTATTTTTCAACAACAATATTGAGAAACATTTGTAGACAGTCAAGTTCAAACTCTTATGATTATTAACTTGATTTTAAGCCATGAAAGGCACATCAATAGTAATAATGATTTCGACGGTATCCAGAGTCGTCGATCATGTCGAGGATAGCCTTCCTCCCTCGGGCATTCATCTTAGCTTCAAGAGTAGCAGCCGCTAACCTTTCTTGGGCTTCATTGAATGCCTGAATGTCCTCAACTTGGCGAGTGACTGAGTCCATCAAATGTTCATGACCGCTTTGTGAACTACTTGCTGCATCTTTTCCAGTCACGTTACCAGTCGTGCAATTTGAATGCATCCCAAAATCACAATGAGCGCAATAATACACCCAATTATCTCTGTTTGCAATGCCATGACACTCATCACACACGAAGGCAACATTCTGATCTTTGTAAGGGGAAACAAATAAGAGATTGAGTTCATGCGGGTGCTTGTCAATAAGTATCTTGGCAGGCAATTTGGCACAGTGAATATGGAGATCATATTCACAGTGTGCGCAACTGAAACTAAAGGCACTGCCTTGTGATCCACACGCATTGCACGAAAATGATTTACTTGAATAGGTAGGATTTGGGAGGAGGGTCAAAGGGTGAGCAGGATGAGAAGCGTGTTGAAGAGATCGAGGAATATTAAGGCATTGATCGTGAATATAGTAATTGCATGAATAGCAGCCATGAAATGGCTCAGTTATAGGGTTTTCACATGCATTGCAATCAATTTTCTTACCTATATCTAGTTTGAAGGCATTCAGGATGTGTTGGTGGCTGAAGTGTTGATTGTCAAGAAACTTCATCTCTCTCTCTCTATTCTTTCCCTCCCTCTTCTTTCTCTATATAGGGTTTATATGTGTGGGAGTGTATTATATTACCAGCTGTTATGTATCGTGCAATATTCTCAAGAGTTCAAAATGACATTATTTAGTCAAAAAGTCAATTTTATCGTTCTCTGAAATTTTTAGATCTACCTGTTATAAGTATCAAATGTTAGCAACTATACCCAAATTCCATGAAATGAGAAATCTAAGATATGATTTATATTCCCTCTTAATTTACTAAATTTTGGCCCATGTACACTTGATAGATATCCAGTCCCACTTTAAATTCCATTATATACAAAATTTATTTTTCTTTTAATTCATTTTTTTTTTTCGCCTTCGGGTTGGGGTTTGGGGGTCTGTGTGTCATTTGATTGATACAAAGTCAACTTATGACAATCACTTGATAATTAAAAAAAAAAGGAATAAATTTTAGCCAATTGTGAGCTTTAATTCTTAGGAAACTGCTAAGCCAGAACGACGCATTGACTTATTTTGTTGACTTGGTCATCAATTGGATATATTACAGTTTCTTGTCATCTTCTTGAAAGTCAGCTTATGAGAATTTCCTAATCATTCGAACCACTTTCTAGAAATTGCTATCAACTGTACATTAATTTACCTCAATTTGCTGGAAAGGGTAAAAATTTTTAATGTAAAATATGATAAGTTTATTAGGATTTGTACGGGTGGGTCAACATAGATCTTCCCAGTTGAACCGACAATATAAGTGCATTTTATACACTTTTTTAGAGTACAGAGTATGGACAATTGTTGGACAGTTGCCCCCTACATTTATATTTTATTTTCACTAAAGCGTCTGCTACCCATTTCCTCTCTATTTTAAGATTATTTACCAAAACAATTTGTATAACATCATAGTTGTATTCAAACTATTTTAAAGATTACCTTTTGTTTTGAGAAATAGTAAACAAGAAAAATTAAAAAATATGAAGGTTATAGTTCGCCAAAATTTTTCCTTGTATAAAAATTTGTACAATCGTATAGAATCTTAACTCAACCAAATCCACCGAGTATCATCGGAAAAATAATATTTTGAGCCCCCATGGGCATGGCACAATGGTAAGCAGGTTGGTTCTCTATGAAATATCAGATGTTTGAATTTCCGCGACAGTTGGAAGGTAATATTTATGTTGGAAGACAGATATCCTGTGGTGGCAAAGTTATAGTGCGCTTTGCCACTACTCCGGTGGTCCTATCCGCACGTCGTAAATAGTTATCCACAAGGAAGAGAATCACTTCTTGAATGTCCGATTCAAGTGTATATAAGTTGTGATTGCATCCGGATTTACCGAGATGGCGAACCAAGGGGGAAGACCGCTACTCTTCAGGATTAGTC